AGAGAGAGAGAGAAGATCACCAAAAGGCTGCGTTTGTACTAAAATCACACCACCCACTCATTATGCAAAACGTGGGTCTACTCATTGTCCACTGCCTTCAAAGAAGAAGTCAAACCTCATAATAGCAAGCGTAGTAGTAGAAGTACAAGTTTGTCACAGACAGAAGTTGTCTGTTTCTATTTATTGTTTTGTACCGTATAGTATCTTTGACTCTGTTAAAGCCATTGGCCTTCGGGCATGATTTTCCAAATAAAGACTATATTATTATTTACCAAAATGAGCAACAAAAGGCTAGTTGTAATACGATTCATCGCACGAGTAACTAATGGGAGGAATACTAGTAATTGAGACATAAAATCTCCATCCTGCATTTCAACTATATTATATTATATTATAGTAGTACAAAACTACAAAGTGGCATGCTTTTGTTCAACTCTGTTCTAGTCAGTGTACAGTGGTACTTCTGCATTCGATATGGATGTTATAATGACTTGTGTGGGATGAAAATGATGGCTAGGGAATGGAAAATATTTCCGGTATCTCTCTCCTTAACATCCATTTATATCTATAATACAATGGCTTTAAAGAGGAATCAATTAATCTTTTCTGCACCAAAGCTTCTCAAGAATGTCGTGCATTAATGCAGCACTCACGGGAGACCCCGGGGGACTCCTGAAAAGCTGATAACTTCTGATACTTCCCGAAGTAAAGACGCTTACAGACGTTATCTTCTCTTCAATTATTCATAGTTCTGACGACAGGGAAGATGTGTCGCCGGAATCTTGCGCATTTAGGCGTCTGTGTAATAGGCTTGTGATTCAGCCGAGGTTCCACTAGAGTGCCTTCGAGGAGTTTCCATCTGTTATATCAGACGTAATCTGTCTCCAGGCGACAGCACTTAGGTGTATTTAAGGAGCGCCATCAATTAACAACAAAAGTTAACAAGACTTAAGACTGAAAGTCCATTTCTAGTTAATAGTTTAACAGAAAAATGCAACATTTTTTTCGGGAAAAAGATGAGCATCAAAGATCTCCATCAATTAACAACAAAAGTTGGAGACTTAAAGTTCATGTAGTATGTTAATGAGTTTAACAAAATGATGCGAGACAATTTTGTTCGGGAAAAAGATGAGCATAAAAGATCTCCATCAATTAACAACAAAAGTTGGAGATTGGAGACAAACTTTTGTCCTGGGATCGCTTAGGATCGAAGAGCTTCATGACAACAAAAGTCGGGGACTTTTGTTGTGATGAAGCTCATACATACAGGAAGGATATAACAAAACCCAGTCAAAAATACCTGAGAACCCAATACCATTTTATGACCAGAAGCACAGTTACAGCTTATTTGCCTCCTAACACTGAAGCTGTAATAATTTGCGTGTCTGGATTACAGCACTGAGACGAACAGTCATCAGAGCCCACCAACCCTCTCTGAGAGACGGTGGGCGGTACCGACTTCCGGTACAATTGACCTATCAGAACTTTCCGATACGTTACAATGGTTTAGAGATTTATGATGAAACACAGACACCCCCGAGACTGAGTAGGATCGTCCTGGCCTTGAGGGTCAGAGGTGAACTAAGCACATGGCATCATCGAGAAGTTGCAAAACAAAGTCTTCTTCTCATCTATTAAAGTCTGGTTCGGGGGTGAGGGACAGGCTTACCGATTTCCTGGCCGGGTCCAGATGATCCCACTGCTGCCACCAGTGTAACGTGCCATTAATTGCCCTGTCCCCCACCCCAGGGTTTAGGGAATAAAGATAAAGAGAGAAGACGAGGAGTGTACTTGTAGTACTGTGTATTCCAGAGAAGAACATGTGGTAGACTGAACTAGATCTAACCGGTTCCAAGAAGTGGACTAGCCCACTCACCACCGGGGGTGGCGAGTTATCCCATTCCCATAGGGGAAACTACATGGATCAGAATATTGGATCCTTACAGTACCTTAACGTCCTCTTCATCAAACGGCATTCCATCGGGGTTCTTGTTAATGGCCTGTGCCACTCCGATGACCTCGCCCTCGCTGTCCTTGATGGGCATGCAGAGGATGGACCTGGTCCGGTACCCGGTCGACTTGTCCACCTCGTCACAGAATCTGCTGTCCTAAAAACACATGGATATCATGGGAGTTAGGCAAACACTACATTCAACTAGAAAGGTAACATTTGCAAATGCCTACCTTCGCATATGGTATGCTTTGCTAATTCTTACTCAAACATATTCATACATATGGTCAAGCAGGAGCATAAATCCCTCCTACCATAAAATTGCAACATTATGCAACCCGACACCAGTTACCATAGTCATCGGGTCATTGGCCAGGTCAGAGGTCAGTGTTTGGAACGGAAGAAGAAGAAGAGGAAACGTAGCCAAAACAATATGTTTTCCTTCTGTAAACATAAATATGGTCATCAGTTAGACATACTACTCTCGAAGCAGAGGTAGGTTCGCTCGGTATTTTGGCAGTATCTCTGGTCTTCCTCCCAGAGAAAAAC